CGTCTCCCATTTATTATAGTAAATGTTAGAATTTCTGTTCACGTCACAATTTCTACTCACTGGTTTAAGATTGCAAATACAATTATAGAAAAAGGCAGTGAGTAGAAATTGTGACGTGGACAAAAACTGGGACATTTACTATAATTACTTTGCGTTTGAATAAGCTTATTTTTAATTACAGCGCAACAAACGCTGTGGCCTATCTTAATGTGTTCGCCACTTCGGAAACTGTGTTCCTTCTAGTATAACTATTTACTAATTTAATGTAAGCTCTCATTGAAGCTTGCATCGCGAGTAATTGAAAGTTCGTTTACTATAATCGTTGACCAAAAATTTTAACTCCGCAAAATGTACAACACACGTTTATCCACGATCTCACAGTAATTATTCCCCAAAGGTGTTTCGATCTTCCAATTAATGTCGCGCTGGACATATAGATCATTAGTTAACATTTGTCGTCACGGTACGTATTCCATTCATCGGTGTTCATAACGCGTGCATATTTACGGTCGCATATCATGGTGAAAAATAAATTTGCGGTTGATCATAATATATCGCGTCGGACTCGGCGCAATATGCGTTACCATGAATTATTAATTGCCAGGGAGAGTTAAAATTCATCGATTGATTTAATCGGAACGGCACGTTGTTGGTGTTTATTGTAATGACCGTAGGTCATCGCGAGACGCTGATACCCGATCATTTACAATTTTAAACGATTGTGTTATTGATAAAAAAAATTAAATAGATCGTATCACGAAACGTGGAAACACCAGAAATAATGTTTATTGGAAAATTGTTACGCACCTGACGGTATACATACTTACGTGAAATTTATTGTAACATTTACCGAACATGTGCATCTACACAACACATACACAATATGTAAGTACATGTATTGTGTAATATATCTATACATAAAACTGTGCGTGTGCATATGTGGAATTTAATTAATACATTTTCTTTTAATGAGAAGGTGTCTCACAAAATAATTTTTACAAATGAATGTAGACGTTTGTTTGTTCTTCTGGCTTTATATTGAGGCTGGAGCGTGGATAAAGTTAAAGCTTCAGCGGATGCAGAAACAGTTTTTATCCACCAGGCAGTCTTTAATTTTACAAATATCATCTATCGAAATGGCCCGAAGCCATTCGAAGATTAGATTATTAACTCATTAAGTTTTAAATTGTTATTGAATATTATTGTAATTATGTAAATATTAATTAAGTATTATGTAAATGTA